AGGAAGAAGAAGAAGAAGAGGAAGAAGAAGAAGAAGAAGAAGAAGAGGAAGAAGAAGAAGAAGAAGAGAGGAAGAAGAAGAAGAAGAAGAAGAGGAAGAAGAAGAGGAAAGAAGAAGAAGAGGAAGAAGAAGAAGAAGAAGAGGAAGAAGAAGAAGAAGAGGAAGAAGAAGAAGAAGAAGAAGAGGAAGAGGAAGAGGAAGAAGAAGAGGAAGAAGAAGAAGAAGAAGAGGAAGAGGAAGAAGAAGAAGAGAAGAAGAAGAAGAAGAAGAGGAAAAAGAAGAGGAAGAAGAAGAAGAAGAAGAAGAGGAAATAGAAGAGGAAGAGGAAGAGGAAGAGGAAGAAAAAGAAGAGGAAATAGAAGAAAAAGAGGAAGAAGAAGAAGAAGAGGAAGAGGAAGAAGAAGAAGAGGAAGAAGAGAAGAGAAGAAGAGAGGAGAAGAAGAAGAGGAAAAGAAGAAGAAAAGAAGAAGAAGAATAAGAAGAGGAAAAGAAGAAGAAGAAAAGAAGAAGAGGAATAGAAGAGGAAGAGGAAAAGAAGAAGAAGAAGATGAAGAAGAAGAAGAAGAGGAAAAGAAGAAGAAGAAGAAGAAGAAGAGGAAGACGAAGAGGAAGAAAAAGAGGACGAAGAAGAGGAAATAGAAGAAGAAGAAGAATAAGAAGAGGAAGAAGAAGAAGAAGAAGAAGAGGAAGAAGAAGAGGAAGAAGAGAAGAGGAATAAGAAGAAGAAGAAGAAGAGAAGAGGAGAAGAAGAAGAAGAAGAAGAAGAAGAAGAGGAAGAAGAAGAAGAAGAAGAAGAAAGGAAGAGGAAGAAGAGAAGAAGAGAAGAAGAAGAAGAAGAGGAGAGGAAGAAGAAGAGGAAAAGAAGAAGAAGAAGAGGAAAGGAAGAAGAAGAGGAGAAGAAGAAGAAGAATAGGAAGAGGAAGAAGAAGAGAAGAAGAAGAGAAGAGAGGAAGAAGAAGAAAGAGGAAGAAGAAGAAGAGGAAGAGGAGAGGAAGAAGAAGAGGAAGAAGAAGAGAAGAAGGAAGAAGAAAAGAAGAGGAAGAAGGAAGAAGAAAGAGGAAGAGAAGAAGAAGAGGAAGAAGAAGAAGAAGAAGAGGAAGAGGAAGAAGAAGAAGAAGAAGAAGACGAAGAGGAAGAGGAAGAAGAAGAGGAAAAGAAGAAGAGAAGAAGAAGAAGAAGAAAAGAAGAGGAAGAGAAGAAGAAAAGAAGAAGGAAAAAATAAGAAGGAAGAAGAAAAGAAGAAGAAGAGAGGAAGAGAAGAGAAGAGAAGAAGAGGAAGAAGAGAAGAGGAGAAGAGAAGAAGAGAGAAGAGGAAGAAGAAGAAGAAAGGAAGAAGAAGAAAGAAGAAGAAAAAAAAGAGGAAGAGGAAGAAGACGAAGAAGAGAAGAAGAAGAAGAGGAAATAGAAAAGGAAGAAGAAGGAGAAGAGAAAGAAGAAGAGGAAGAAGAGGAGGAAGAGGAAGAAGAAGAAGAGGAGGAAATAGAAGAAGAAGAAGAAGAAGAAGAAGAAGAAGAAGAAGAGGAAGAAGAAGAAGAAGAGGAAGAAGAAGAAGAAGAAGAAGAAGAAGAAGAAGAGGAAGAAGAGGAGGAAGAGGAAGAAGAAGAGGAGGAAATAGAAGAGGAAGAAGAAGAAGAAGAAGAAGAAGAAGAGGAAGAAGAAGAGGAAGAAGAAGAAGAAGAGGAAGAAGAAGAAGAAGAAGAAGAAGAAGAGGAAGAAGAAGAAGAGGAAGAAGAAGAAGAAGAAGAAGAAGAAGAAAATTAAAAGAAAATGATGAGAGGAAAATAACCTTAGAACTACTAATAGATAGACAATAATAACTACTTATAATACTTATAACTACTTATAATACTTATAACTACTTATAATACTTATAACTACTTATAATACTTATAACTACTTATAATACTTATAACTACTTATAATACTTATAACTACTTATAATACTTATAACTACTTATAATACTTATAACTACTTATAATACTTATAACTACTTATACGCTTCCAATGAATTATTAATAGTCATTCTGGTATTTTCTATAGTATTTATAGTATTTCTGTTCTAGTATATTCTAGTAGTATTCTAGTTATAGTAGTATTAATATTATAAGTATTATAGTATTATTGGTATTATAGTGTTATTAGTATTATAGTAATAGTATTATATTATTGTAATATTATTAGTATTATAGCATTATAGTATTATAGTTTTATAGTGTTATTAGTATTATAGTAATAGTATTGCAGTATTATAATATTATTAGTATTATAGCATTATAGTATTATAGTTTTATAGTGTTATTAGTATTATAGTAATAGTATTGCAGTATTATAATATTATTAGTATTATAGCATTATAGTATTATAATATTATTAGTATTATAGTAATAGTATTGCAGTATTATAATATTAGTATTATAGTATTATAGTTTTATAGAGTTATTAGTATTATAGTAATAGTATTGCAGTATTATAATATTATTAGTATTATAGCACTATAGTATTATAGTTTTATAGTGTTATTACTATTATAGTACTAGTATTACATTATTGTAATATTATTAGTATTATAGCATTATAGTATTATAGATTTATAGTGTTATTAGTATTATAATATTAGTGTTATAGTATTATGGTATTATAGTTTTATAGAGTTATTAGTATTATAGTAATAGTATTGCAGTATTATAATATTAGTATTATAGCATTATAGTATTATAGTTTTATAGTGTTATTAGTATTATAGTAATAGTATTGTAGTATTATAATATTATTAGTATTATAGCATTATAGTATTATAGTTTTATAGTGTTATTAGTATTATAGTAATAGTATTGCAGTATTATAATATTATTAGTTATTATAGTATCATAGTATTAGTATTATAGTATTATTAGTATTACAGTATTATAGCAGTGAAATAAACTGAAATAAGTAAAAAATGAAAATGAAATGAAATAAAAAAAAGTAAATAAAATTAAATAGATATAGATAAATAATAAAGATAATAAAAAGAAATAGAGAAAGAAAATAATAAAAGAAAATAACATTAAGAAAAGATGCAAAGAATAGATTAAAAAGTAGACTAAAAAAAAAAATAAAAATAAAAAGAAATACTGATAAATGCTTCTTAAAATAGAAACTAAATTTAAATACATTTTACGTAAACTAATTAATAAACTATTATTACAGAGGGTAAATAGATAAATAAAGAGAATAAATAGATAAATATAGAGAAAAGAGTAAATAGATAAAGAGAACAGAATAATAAATGCAGTGAAAAATGATAAATATAGAGAATAAAATAGTAAATAAAGAGAAAAATGATAAATACAGAGAAAAAAGATAAATATAGAGAATAAAATAGTAAATAAAGAGAAAAATGATAAATACAGAGAATGAAATGATAAATATAGAGAATAAAATAGTAAATAAAGAGAAAAATGATAAATACAGAGAATAGATAGACAAATACAAAGAATGAATATAATAAAGGAATTTTCAACAAACCGAGAAACAGGAAAAAATAGAATAAATATAGTGTAAACAGAAAAAAGTGATAACAGATACATGATAAACAGAATAAATATGATAAACAGAATAAATATGGAAATAGATACATTGTAAATAGAATGAATATGGAAATTATTTATTTATTCCATATGTTATACACATTATATAATAAATTGCTATAATAGTATAGAACAATTATAGTAAAGTATAATCATAATTATTATTATAATCATAGTACGGTATATTTCCCTATAAATAAGAATAAATCGTATAGTTTGATACTGCAACGTCCAAGATTTAATTCATACGGATCCTGATTATTGATACAGAATTAATCATACAGAACCTATATAATTCACACAGAATCTGTTTATTAATACAGAATTTTTCACACGGAACCTATATAATTTGTACGGAACCTGTTTATTAATGCAGAATTATTCTTACAGAACCCATATAATTCATACAGAACCTATATAATTAATAAAGAACTTATTTATTAATACAAAATTTTTCACACAGAACCTATATAATTCATACAGAACCTGTTTATTAATATAGAACCTATGTAATTCATACAGAACCTGTATAATAATATAGAATGTTTCATATGAAACCTATTTAGTAATACAGAATTTTTCACACGGAACCTATATATTTCATATAGAATCTATTTATTAATAAAGAATTTTTCACACGGAACCTATATAATTTGTACGGAACCTGTATAATAATATAGAATTTTTCATATAAAACCTATTTATTAATATAGAATTATTCATACAGAACTTATATAATTCATATAGAACCTATTTATTAATACAAAATTTTTCACACGGAACCTATATAATTCATACAGAACCTGTTTGATAATATAGAATTTTACATATAAAACCTATTTATTAATTCAGAATTATTCATACAGAACCTATATAATTCATATAGAATCTATTCATTAATTCAGAATTTTTCATACAGAACCTATATAATTAATATAGAAGCTATTTATTAATACAAAATTTTTCACACGGAACCTATATAATTCGTACAGAACCTGTATAATATAGAATTTTTCATATAAAACCTATTTATTGATACAGAATTATTCACACAGAAGCTATATAATTCATATAGAACCTATTTATTAATTCAGAATTTTTCACACGGATCCTATATAATTCGTACGGAACCTGTTTATTAATACAGAATTATTTATACAGAACCCATATAATTCGTACAGAAATTATATAATTAATATAGAACCTATTTATTAATACAAAATTTTTCACACAGAACCTATATAATTCATACAGAACCTGTTTATTAATACAGAACCTATGTAATTCATACAGAACCTGTATAATAATATAGAATTTTACATATAAAACCTATTTATTAATACAGAATTATTCACACAGAACCTATATAATTCATATAGAACCTATGTATTAATTCAGAATTTTTCACAGGGAACCTAGTCACTAACTAAATGGAAACCATTACAGGTTCAGACCGACTAAGGGATTTTGAGAATAGAAGAAGCTGTTTCTACATCGAACAGATAGTATAATAGTATATATATATAGTATATATAATAATATATAATAGTATATAGTATGTAGTAAAATAGTATAGTAGTAATGTATATACTATATAGTATAAGAGTAGTATATAGTATGTAATATAACAATAGTATAATAGTTGTAAATAGTATATAGTATATAGAACCTACTATATACGTTTTATCTACTAAGACATTATATAGTTTATATAATAGTATGATAGTATGTATAAAATAGTATATATAATAGTATAGTAATATACAATACTATTATATTGTATATATATAATAAAGTCTTCTTTTCTTTGTCTGAATTAAAGTTCCTATTTTCAGGTTCTGATCAACTACCAACAAAGGGATTTTGAGAACAGGGGAAGCTATTTCTACATCGAACAAATAGTATGATAAGATATCTATATAGTATGTATAATAGTATATAATAATATAATAGTAGTATCTATAATAGTATATATATAGTATATATAATTGTATGTAATAGACGTATATAGTTAAATAGTACTATATATAGTATAAAGTATAATAGTGTAATAGTAGTATATAGTATGTAGTACAATAGTATATATATACAATAGTATATATAATAATATATATAATAGTATAGTAATATACTATACTATTATGCTGTTTTTCTTCATCTGAATTAAAGATCTTTTTTCAGGTTCATTTTGAAAAGGCGGGAAGCGTTTTATCTACGTTTTATCTACGTTTTATCTGTTTTATCTGCGTTTTATCTACTACGACATCAAAAAGAGGTTAGTTTAAGAAAAAATATATATATATTATATAAAAACCACTAAAAAAAAAAGGAAAAGAAAAAAAAGAATATAGTCGAAAACCCTACTTTTTATCTACGTTTAAAAATGCAGGAGAGGATATAGTTGAAAACCCTACGGAAGAAGAAGGAGACGTTTTATCTACGTTTTATCTACGTTTTATCTATGTTTTATCTACGTTTTATCTACGTTTTATCTATGTTTTATCTGCGTTTTATCTACTACGACATCAAAAAGAGGTTAGTTTAAGAAAAAAATATATATATTATATAAAAACCACTAAAAAAAAAGGAAAAGAAAAAGAATATAGTCAAAAACCCTACTTTTTATCTACGTTTAAAAATGCGAAAGGAGAGGATATAGTCGAAAACCCTATTGGAAGAAGAAGGAGACGTTTATCTACGTTTTATCTGTTTTATCTGCGTTTTATCTACGTTTTATCTGCGTTTTATCTACATTTTATCTACGTTTTATTTGTGTTTTATCTACTACGACATCAAAAAGAGGTTAGTTTAAAAAAAAAAAAAAATTATTATATATAAACCACGAAAAAAAGAAATGAAAAAAAAGAATATAGTCGAAAACCCTACTTTTTATCTACGTTTAAAAATGCAGCAGGAGAGGATATAGTGGAAAACCCTATGGAAGAAGAAGGAGACGTTTTATCTATGTTTTATCTACGTTTTATCTACTTTTTATCTGTGTTTTATCCGCGTTTTATCTACTATGAAATCAAAAAGAGATTAGTTTAAGAAAAGAAAAATTATTATATATAAACCACGAAAAAAAGAATATAGTCGAAAACCCTACTTTTTATCTACGTTTAAAAATGCAGGAGAGGATATAGTCGAAAACCCTATTGGAAGAAGAAGGAGACTTTTTATCTACGTTTTATCTACGTTTTATCTGCATTTTATCTACGTTTTATCTACGTTTTATCTACGTTTTATCTATGTTTTATCTGCATTTTATCTACGTTTTATCTACGTTTTATCTATGTTTTATCTGCGTTTTATCTACTACGACATCAAAAAGAGGTTAGTTTAAGAAAAAATATATATATATTATATAAAAACCACTAAAAAAAAAGGAAAAGAAAAAAAGAATATAGTCGAAAACCCTACTTTTTATCTACGTTTAAAAATGCAGGAGAGGATATAGTCGAAAACCCTATTGGAAGAAGAAGGAGACGTTTATCTACGTTTTATGTTTTATCTGCATTTTATCTACGTTTTATCTACGTTTTATCTACGTTTTATCTATGTTTTATCTGCGTTTTATCTACTACGACATCAAAAAAAGAAAAATTATTATATATAAACCACGAAAAAAAGAAAAGAAAAAAAAGAATTTAGTCAAAAACCCTACTTTTTATCTACGTTTAAAAATGCAGCAGGAGAGGATATAGTCGAAAACCCTACGGAAGAAGAAGGAAGTTTTATCTACGTTTTATCTATATTTTATTCGCGTTTTATCTACTACGACATCAAAAAGAGGTTAGTTTAAAAAAAGAAATTATTATATATAAACCACGAAAAAAAAGAATATAGTCGAAAACCCTACTTTTTATCTACGTTTAAAAATGCAGGAGAGGATATAGTCGAAAACCCTACGGAAGAAGAAGGAGACGTTTTATCTATGTTTTATCTACGTTTTATCTATATTTTATTTGCGTTTTATCTACTACGACATCAAAAAGAGGTTAGTTTAAGAAAAAATATATATATATTATATAAAAACCACTAAAAAAAAAGGAAAAGAAAAAAAAAGAATATAGTTGAAAACCCTACTTTTTATCTACGTTTAAAAATGCGAAAGGAGAGGATATAGTCGAAAACCCTATTGGAAGAAGAAGGAGACGTTTTATCTAAGTTTTATCTGTTTTATCTGCATTTTATCTACGTTTTATCTACGTTTTTTCTACGTTTTATCTATGTTTTATCTGCGTTTTATCTACTACGACATCAAAAAAAGAAAAATTATTATATATAAACCACGAAAAAAAGAAAAGAAAAAAAAGAATATAGTCGAAAACCCTACTTTTTATCTACGTTTAAAAATGCGAAAGGAGAGGATATAGTCGAAAACCCTACGGAAGAAGAAGG